CCTCCTGAGTAGCTGGGATTACAGGCACGTGCCACCATGCCCAGCTAATTTTTTGTATTTTTAGTAGAGACGGGGTTTCACCATGTTGACCAGGATGGTCTCGATCTCTTGACCTCGTGATCCACCCGCCTCGGCCTCCCAAAGTGCTGGGATTACAGGTGTGAGCCACCGCGCCCGGCCTATCTTTTCTGTTTCTAAAGTAAAGATGACATTTAAAAATTATAGGCAGCTTTCATATCCAGTTTAAAAGGGATTTTCTTATGGCGTTTTTGTATTATCGTATCATTGAAGAGTGAGTTTTCAATACTAGTAGATCTATGATTTTCTTAGGCACTCTTCCTGGAAAACAGTAATATTCATCTTGAACAACAGAATAAAACATGAATTAATTTTGTTTAGGTAGTTGAACAAAGGTGTTCATCTAAGATAGAATTTGGAAGAAAATAACCCTTGTATTAATTTTGTCTTCTCAGTGTCTTACATACGACTAATTTAGTAGAAACAATTTGTTAATGTAGGAAAAACAGAAATGACAAAAATTGCTGTGACATCTGTACCAGACCTTTTAATGTTAGGGTTTTGTATAATGGAATAGTGAAATCAGCACCTGAACTTTACTGAGAAAACAGTCATTTGCTTGTATTGTAGGCAAACCTGCAGAAAATGATGTTAAGCTTGGAGCTCTCAAACTGAAACCAAATACTAAAATCATGATGATGGGAACTCGTGAGGAGAGCTTGGTAAATGTTTACTTTTTGTTACCATTTGTCCGTTTGAAGATACTATGATTTATACTACACTGTTGTATCATAGTTTTAATTGTGGTAAAATTGTCAGTCTGGCAATCAATAAAAAAAATAAAACGTGCATTGTGAATGTGGAATTAACTGTGTAAGTATAGTAGTAGCGCAAATAGTCAAATTTAACATGGTGAATCTGCCCGGGAGACATAACAAATTATTAATTGTGGAAATTTTCCAGTGTGGGCTTAAAAGACTCTGGAACTCAAATTGTATCTCTCATTTGATTTTTGTGCTATGCATGTATTTGTTATGTTAAGGATATTGTGGTAAAACAAAACTTTTTCCATCTTAATAGGAAGACGTCTTAGGCCCACCCCCTGACAATGATGATGTTGTTAATGACTTTGATATTGAAGATGAAGTAGTTGAAGTAGAAAATAGGTAAGTGCTTTTCGCTTTAGAAGTAATTGATTGTCATGTGAGAAAAAGTGAATATTTTATCTAAGTGTATTTTTTCCTTTAGAGAAGAAAACCTACTGAAAATTTCTCGCAGAGTCAAAGAGTACAAAGTGGAAATTTTGAATCCTCCCAGGGAAGGGAAAAAGCTTTTGGTATTAGATGTTGATTATACACTGTTTGGTAAGTCAGTTAATAATGCTTTTCATCTTTTGTTACCCACAACTTTTTTTTTCCTTTTTTTTTTTCTTAGCAACTCGTGGTTCTCCTTAAATACATGAAAACTTTTATTACAAAAGTAAATCACTCATAGTAGAAAATGCCAATAAGCAAACAAAAGTCATCTCTAATCCTAATACCCAAAGATGACCACTCTTAATAATTCGATATATATCTTCTAGATTGGTTGTATCTCCTCTTATTCTTTTATTTAATAACAGATTGAACATCTTCTCAGTGAAATATTATTTATTTCATAAATTATTTATATATATTGTAGGCCAGACAATATTCTAGTTTATGGATGCATCATCATTTAACCGTGTTATTCCCTGTTGATTATAATTAATTTTTTATGAGGAATATTAAAATCATTTTTGATATTTTATCCTTGGTTTCTTGTTTAATTATATTCAAGCAGATTCTTTAATTTAAAATTTCTTATGTAGGCCAGGTGTGGTGGCTCACATCTGTATCCCAGCACTTTGGAAGGCTGAGGTAGGAAGATCACTTGAACTCAGGAGCTGGAAATCAATCTGGGCAACATAGCAAGACCTCATCTCTACTAAAAACTAAAAGTATTAGCCAGATGTGGTGGTATGCACCTAGTCTCAGCTACTTTAGGAGGCTGAGGTGGGAGAATCACTTGAGCACAGATTAAGGCTTCAGTGAGCTATGATCATGCCACTGCACTCCAGCCTGGGTGACAGAGGGAGACCTTGTTTCAAGGAAAAAAAAAATGTTTTATTTTCATTGAAAAAGAAAGATGTTCCTTTTATGTCTGATGTTGGCAAGAAATAGTTAACTTCTGATATTGGAATTTATTTCTAATCCTAAACCTAAAATATAAGTTAATGTACAGTTTTAAAACATTTAATTAATTGGCCCTATCATTTTGAAGAAATGTGATTATATCTGCAAGGTAGATGACTAAAGGTGAGTATAAGTGGACATAGTTTGTTTTTCATTATTATAAAATAACATCTAAACTTCAGAGACTACGTGAGAAAAAAATTTACAGTTTACTACTTAAGCCTGAATTTTCAGTATTGCTTTTTGCAAATTGAACAAAATTGATCAACTAAAATTGGATCTTAAGGATTTTAAATTATATATTTTGAAAGACATCTTTTTGTCAGCCAGTGTAATTCATTCTAAAGCAGTTTGCAATGGAATGTTTATATTGCATTTCATAATATATTACATTTTATAATAATTGGTATCAGATACTTGTTCATTATAGTAAACTAATAATTATTTATGATCAATTTTCTTTTAGACCACAGGTCTTGTGCAGAGACTGGGGTAGAATTAATGCGGCCATATCTTCATGAATTTCTAACATCTGCATATGAAGATTATGACATTGTTATTTGGTGTAAGCTGTATTTTTTTTGTTTAGATTTCTGTGGAAATAAGGTTGTTCCTTATATTATTGTGCTGTATAAAATGTGACTTAAAATGAGTTGTGTTTAAATATGAAATAGTTTTCATTTTTTAGGAGATTTCTAAAATGAAGCATGTATCACAATATAAACTTAAACATATATTTGCCAAATACCAGTGAGATAGTTAATTTAAGTATAGGACATGAGTACATTATAGTATAAGAATAAAAATGGCTCATTTTCCCAATGACCTCACCTTGATTAGAAGTTTTTCCTTCTGATTCTTTTTTTTTTAAACTAGGAACATAACTTTAGGGTCTTGCTGTGTTACTCAGGCTGGCCTTGAACTCCTGGGCTCAAGTGATCCTCCTGCCTTGGCTTCCCAGAGTGCTGGCATTACAGGCATGAGCCAACGTGCCCAGGCTTTCCTTCTGATGTTTGCTGTGGAGTTCTTGATGCTTTGGAATATTTTTGTTTTCTCCTTTTTTCCTGACTCCAGTTTTAAAATACTTGGAGAAAGGTGTTTAAAAATAAATCACAGTGAAATAGTTCTCTAGAAATGAAGGCAACTTGAATTACTTAAGGAAATAATAATATATGGAGTAAAGCAATGACATTCAAATTGTGGTCTATGGACCATTTCAGGAACGTACAGGTCTGTGATAAGTTACTGAGTTTGCTTCAAGAATTAAATCTACTGTAATACTAAGCACATTATTCAGTTCAATTAACATTTTTTGGTAGCAAGATTTTCTTGAAAAATGAAGCAATGCATTGATTTACATCCCTCCTCCCCAGAAATATTTAAAGTTGCCGTTTGGCAATGTCATAAGCAGAGAATAGTTATCCTGACTGAATTAAATAAAGTCCCATCAAGTAAAGGTGCTACATTTAATTGTACTAGGTCTTTGAGAGAAACTATGTAGTTATAGTCTGTAAATTCATTTTATATTTTTCCTTGTAATCAGAGTACTTCCATTGTTTGTGATATGTGAGTTCTATGTGAGTTCATAGCTATTAGGATTAAAATTATAGTCAAAATATGATACAATTTTCTGGTTTAGTAAGATAAGGTGAAGAAAGCTTGCTGGTAACAAATTTTTATTTAGCAACTTTGACATCTAAGATATTTGAGAAAAAAGTTTATCCTCTAAATGTTATTAAACTAGACTTAGAAAATTAGAGAACTTTTACAATCATATATTTAAGTTATTTTTACCAACTATGATATTTTGTGGTAGTTCATTAAAAAGCATACTTCGCTTTGGAACTAGATAGACTAGGATTTCAATTCTGGCTCTGGTGTGACACTGGGTAGGTCACTTAATGTCTCGAAGCCTTAGTTTTCTTATCTGAGAAATTAAGATAACTAAATAACATATTACAGGTTTTAGGAATAGAAGTATCAATATAGCAACTAGTAACATGTTTGACATATAGTTACTTAGTAATTAGAAACTTATTAGCTGTTTTGTGAGTCTTTTTGTTTTTAATCTGATAATTACAGATACAAAACAAGCACTGAATTAAATTTTTTTTCTGTCTTATGATTGTTTTCATCAGAGATACAACAGTATTTAAAATTTTAGCTCAACTGACCAGTTTTGTATGTAAGGTGATTTTTCTGTTTTTTGTATATGTGCATACTAAAGATTTTTTATTGTGAGAATTCACGTTCCTCTTTTGCTTTTGAAAATTATACACACAGACACTTCAAATAACTAAATTGCTTTTCCTCCTTTTAAACATTTTACTTGGTTATACCTGTATAATTTAGTGCAGTAAACCAGAAGAGCACATAAAGATGAGGATTTTAGTATCAATAATCATGAAGCTGGTTAATGTCTCAGCAGCTACATGATGCTGATATACTTTATGAATTTGTCTCAGATTTCTTGTTACAAACTACTAGATTCAGTGAGCTTCAATTTACTGAGACTGACAAAATGCAGATTTTTATTGAACCTAAGTAGCCGGTTTTCAACATAAACTTTTAAGAATATGCTTATATTGACACTTTGTATACCTGCACATTGCCTGGAAGTAGGAACATGGAAAAAAGTGATCCAGGCACCCAAGTTTAAGTTTGGAATTGATAGAATGTCAGGGCTGGTTTAAAAAGGGAGATTAGGCCTTGATTTATAAATTTCCTAGGTTCAGAGTTGTTTTGAGCATGGGTTACCTGTATCTCATAGATAAGAGTTGTTTAAAATTTATTTTGTCTTGAAGACACACTGAAATAAGTTAACTTCTATCAATATTTAAAAGAAAATTATCGTAAATATGCTAGGGACTGTTAATTGTGATGCATTTAAACTTTAGTTTTGCTCAGAAAACTTATTTATACAGAATTTTTTAAAAGAAATTCAAGCTTTTCATATTTATTGTATTATCATTCCTCATGTTTTAGCTGCAACAAATATGAAGTGGATTGAAGCTAAAATGAAAGTAAGTGTTAGAAAGCAATCCATTTAAAAATATTTTGAAACTGCATTTGTCTTGTTAAAAGTTCTAGAACTGAAATAATTTTATTCTTATTGAAGGGCATTTAGTAGACAGATAAATGCCATTACTGGGAGTAGAGGTGTGTTTAAAGTGTGTTTAATAAGTGGATTGTACTGAATCCCTAAGTCTTTTTTAAGAAAAAGTATAACTAAGCTTGTTCCCTCCCTCACATTCTTCCTCATTTTACAGTAATACTTTATTTTCCTTCTTTTGCTCCGATGTGTATAATACTTAAAAGAGGCAGTGTTCTCCTAAAATGGTAATTTAGGAAGCAATCTGTTTGTAGTTTATTTTCCTTGGAAAATTTATTGACTTAGCTAAGTGAAACTAAAATAGTTGCTAGTTGGTTAGCAAGAGGTAGTGGCCAGTGGTGTAGAAAGTTGGCATTACGAGAAATGGCAGCTAGAATATTCAGAAAATCTAAAATTTTCCGCATTATTGTGTTTTAACATCATGAATATTTGTGTTTATAGGAGCTGGGAGTAAGCACAAATGCAAATTATAAGATTACCTTCATGTTGGATAGTGCTGCTATGATAACAGTGCATACTCCAAGGAGAGGATTAATAGATGTAAGAAGTCATTTTACTTTTATTTAATGACATGATTATTTTCCAGGATACTTTTTATGTTTATGCTGATGGAGTAAATTAAAGAAAGAGTGTAGAGGTTAATCTGAGTGAATAACAAAGTGGTTGAGTTTTGACATGGGAAAATGTATTTAAAGTTAAAATATTTTAATTTTAATGATAAAATTAAGGATCTTGAAGCAGGACTGTCAAGAAAGGAACTTGTGATTGTGGGTAATTGACCTGTGTTGATGACAGCACAATGTTGCTAGGCAGAGTAAGTGAGAAAAATACTGAATATTATCAAGGAAGAGGCTGGAAACAAATGAAAACACTCACCCTGCCCTGTATGAAACTGGTAATAAAAGCAGATGCATCACGATGCATGTACTTTGGGGTGATGCTAGAAAATAGGAACAACACTCAGAAAAGGATTGAGCTAACAAGTTATTTTAGTTGTCAAGTAACTACTCATATTATTACGTACCTACTGTCTGGAAGGCCCTGAGATAGGCACTTTTGGGAATAAAGAGATGAGTGAGATACAGTCCATACTCTTTGAAAGCACCCAAACTACTAGCCCAGCTGGATAGTGCACGACTGTAATCCCAGCTCCTAGGGAGGCTGAAGCAGGAGAATTGCTCGAACCCGGGGGGTGGAGGTTGCAGTGAGCCAAGATCGTGCTACTTCACTCCAGCCTGGGCAACAGCGAGACTCCATCTCAAAAAAATATAATAATAATAAAGTAAAAATAAAATAAAAGCACCCACGCTAAGAGGAATTGAGGAGAACTTAGGTTGCTAGGAAACCTTAAGAGTAGACAGTAGTAAGACCATCAAAACCATAAATAGGATGATTTACGGGCATGGGAACTGGTTCTGTAAAGAAAATACTGCATGTGTCGGGAGAAAAAGATAATTTATTATATACTGAAGTAAAATAATACTGAGACTCTGTCTCAAAAAAAAAAAAATAGGGAAATGTTAAACATCATGTTTTTAACAGTGAAAAATTAAAGGAATAAAAATAATCCTCAATATCCAGCAATAAGGAATTGGATATATACATTATTGTTATGTATATAAGGGAGTGCGGCTTGTCATTTGATGTAGTAGGATATGTAATGATTTAGAAATTTTCATAACATGTTTAAGTGAAAGTATTTTAGAGAGCAGTGTTGTATGCCATTACAAAATAGTTTTTAACCTTTGTTTGGTTCAGGATTCCCCTTAGGTTAACAAAAAAACCTGTCAACTCTCTTTGAGGCTGCTCTTGTTTATAAAAATGCCTAGAGGCAATATAGCAGAATATTGAGTTGTTATCCTTGGTACTGACTGGATTATTGATGATTTAAAATGTTTCTTTGTGCTTTTATGTATTTTCAAGTTTTTCTGTAGTTAGCAATATTACTTTTCTAAATCATAACAAAGTAGACCGTGTTTTGGGGAACATATGGTGCTTGACCTAATTACCAAATGACAGCACTTTTTTTAAGAGGATGTAGGATTTTTATTCCGGATGTCATAAAAAGTTAACCTCTGTTGTCATATTTCTTGAGGCTTTTGTTAGCTAAAAGTCCCCAAAATATGGCTTATTGTATTCCTATATATTTGTCTTCATTTTGTGTGTGTGGGGGGGGTGGTCTGTTTTAATATTAAACAAGATCAGCAGCAAAAAAAAATCAAGAAAGCAAAATTTTAGTAAATTAAAATATTTCATTAACATTTTTGGTAACAGGCAGGACAATAGGAAGGAAAAAGCTTTCTCCAAATCAAATTATAAGAGGAAAAAAACTTTTAAGTGACAGCCTTTATCACTATTTATTAATTACCACTTAATCGAATATATTTATTATTACATTCTATTCGCATATCATAAAGTTTCTGTTCAGCAAAAGTAATTTTCTAAAACATTTTCTGAATGTGTAATACATTCACATGACTTAAAAAGTAAAGTACATAATGAAAAGTCATCTTTCACCTGGTGCCTAGCCACTTATTCTCCCTGTAGGCAATCAGTGTTATTTCCTGTGTGGTCTTACAGAGACTTTACACAAATACCAACAGATATGACTACATAAAAAATTGTCTCTTTGAAGCTTCAGTTTAAGAATTCAGAAATAAGAGTAAGAATTTGTAAAATACGGTACTTCCAAAGTTAAGCAAGCAAATTCCCTAGAAATTATGCACCTGTGCCACTGAGTTAAAGACAAAATGAATTTCTCCTCTATAAAATATTTAAATTATCAATTGAAAAAGCCAAATACATTTTCTTTCACTAGGATGTTCTAGTTTTGAAGGCAGACTCCATGTGACTCCCAAGTTTTGAGAGGGATATGTGAACCAAGGAAGTCATGTGACTGTATAGCAGACATCTAAACAATTACTTTGGACTTCTAAAAATTAAATAATTATTTACTTTTACCCAAAATCTTTATGTTAAAATTATGGAAAGTTTTATAATGTATTTAATGGATTTAGTTTGGTTGGACATGAACAAACCTTTCAGAAGTTTGAACACTGCAAAATGCATTGTGCTCTAAAGTGGGTTGCATTTAATGATTACTTCACACCTGTCTTACAGGAGGAAAGGAACGCTTTGGCATTGTTCTGCAGGGCAGTGTGCAGTATCTCTGCTTTTAAGACAGGATGAAATATTGATAAAATTTGAGTTAAATCTAAACTTTTATTCTAAGGTAAAGCCTCTTGGTGTTATATGGGGAAAGTTTTCGGAGTTTTACAGCAAGAAAAACACCATTATGTTTGATGACATAGGGAGAAATTTTCTAATGAACCCACAGAATGGACTAAAGGTAAGACATACTTTTACTTGTCGTGTGCTCACGTAATCTGGACTGAGTGGTAGAACTTTTGTAGTAAGCACTGTTGAATTTCATACATTTTAGGAAGTACTGTATTCTTTTTTCACAGGCAAGAAAAGTTTAAGAACAATTTATATAAAAACTGAACTTTATCTTTTTTGCATTGATGTCTGTAGTTATCCAGTTCATCCAAATGTTTTATCTTTAATTAGCTCTGTGGGAGCAACATGGGCTTCCCAACAGAGAGCAACATGGGCTTCCCACTTTTAAGCATCGAAAGTCAAATCGTTAGTAGATTTTTTAGGTATATAAATCTTGGCATTTTAAACATTCTGGCTAGCTTGAGAAATGCTAGTAAGGGTACTTTGTTTTTTGTTTTTAAACTGAAACTAAAGAGGTTGTTGAAAATTCCTAGAGGGCAAGTATAGATCTTAAGAGTTTGAAAATGCCAGAGCCAGAAGGAACCACAGGCATCTTGCCTACCTTCTTAACTTCAGAAGCAGTCTGAAGTTGAGGAAGTTCCTGTCTTGCCCAAGATTGTGTATGTAACTGGCTAATGACAGAATTTGGGTTAGATTCTAGTGACTTTATTCCAAGGTCAGTGACAATCGTAGCATGCAATTGCGTGCAATCTTATGTGACATTTCATCCTGCTGAGAGTGTAAAATTGGTAAGAGTAAAATTTGAAACTTAAAAGTTTCTGGTACCCGTAGTTGGTTACATGTTGGTACAATATGAAAATGGAAAAGATAGCTGTATACTATGGTACTATTGCATATGGAGTCTCCATCTGAAGTGGCAGCCCTGACACTGAGATATTTTTGCTATCAGTCCTGAAGTTTTCTATTAGCTGGATTCTTAGTGGTTTTAAAGACAAGACAGAAAAACCTCAAGTACATTTTTTAAACCTTTCTTACAGATTGTTGATTTTTTGTGGGTGTACAATGAGGATATTTTAGGGGCAGAATGCTAATCTAGGTAGTGAATTGCCACAAGTATAAAAAGTGTTGACTTGAAAGAAAAGTGGTTAGGTTGTCCTTAATGGTTTCTGTTTAAGGCTTGGGGAGAAGTTCTTTTCTTACATGTACTTCACCAGGTGTAAGGTACAAAAATGTATTCTTGAGTCTTGAGAAGAAATGTGATTGGTGTAAACCTAATTGTCTGTAAAACTAATAGTTATTACCTGTTCTTGCAAGGGGGTGAGCCCTCATGATGGTCAAGGAATAATTTTTGAGGAGACCTTTAGCTTTTAAAAAAAAAATACAATCATTAGCTTCATCTTTGTTTAAAAGAAACTTTGTTTTCCTAACCAAGATTTGAGCTCTATTCATCTCTTGATGCAGAGAGAGATGTTATTGTAAATGTCTAGTTCTTCATGTTACTTTATAGTAGGATTTTTAAAAGACTCTACTCAGTAGACCCACAGAAGGAATTCCTAAAAATATATATGTTCCTATCCCCCAAATTCTAATTCCAGAGGTATATTTAGACACTCCACAGGTGGTCCTTGTGTGTCTTTTATTGAAAACCTCTTTTTAATGAAATTACTCTATCCAAGATAGCACTTCGTGAAAACCTCTTTAAAGGTTAAAGATTAAAGGTTGAGATTAAGATTAAAGGTTAAGATTAAGAATCTGCCCACATTGGCATGGAAACACCTGGGGTTTTTTGCTGTTTGTTTCTTGAAACAGGGTCTTGCTCTGTCACCCAGGCTGCAGTGCAGTGGCATGATCACGGCTCATTGCACCCTTGACTTCTGTTGCTCCAGTGATCCTCACGTATTAGCCTCCCAAGTACTGGGACTACAGGTGCACACCACCACACCTGGCTAGTTTTTGTATTTTTGGTAGAGACAAGGTTTTGTTACATTGCCTAGGTTGGTCTCGAACTCTTGAGCTCAAGTGATACGCCTGTCTCAGCCTTCCAAAGAGCTGAGATTACAGGCGTGAGCCACTGTGCCAGCCCAGAAACAGTTCTACAATGGAGAAATATTCTTAAATACTGTGTTTTGTTACCATGCCTTCATAATGCGCTTGGTAGAAATCTCAAAGATTTCATGTAGATCTTAAAAATAAGACTGCTTATTTCTTAAATTGTTAACTTCTATTTAAACACAAGCTTGTCAGTCATAAGGTCTGAAATATATGAAAGGTACTGTGAATATGAATTTAGTATTATACTAAAACAATGTGAATATTGGTCATGGATAAAGCAGCTTATGGGCTGAAAACTCCACTTCTTGTTATCCATTCAAGGAAATTATGATATAGGAGAATTCAGCCAATCTAGGCAATTTTCAATTTCTAAAAGTGCTTCCTTGACCTGAGAAAAAAGGATGGTTGCTTGTCCTTCTAGTGATCACTTAGATCAATTTTGAAAAATGTGCAGTAAACAATGGCTATAATGGAGCAAGTGAAGTCAATTAGGTGAATAGATTTTCACCCTTAATTTGTTTATTTTAAATTTTAGAACCAGAGTCATTGGAATATTTTAGTGTTGTTGTTTAATAGTGCTTAAGAGCAAATGTTTGGAAAGTAAAAATAACTTAGCCGAGCCTTGGGTTGAAAATCTTACTAGCCACCAACCCTGTAATTTCCTACTGTTCAAATTTGGACACTATGGTACATTATATATTAATTGTTTAAAAGTTAATTTGTTGCCGTTTAGTCTTTAGGAAGTGAATGAAGGAATACTTTAAAACATTACCTTATTGCCCAGGATTGTGCAGAAGCTCATTTCACTACATCTTCTTATCGTGCCTCTGTTTACTCCCATCCTTAGGGCCTAAGCAAGGCCCTGTATGGTGTTGTCTTCATCCCCTTCATTCACTGCTGCTGTGAAACAGCATTGCTGCACTACAGCAGAGAAGTGGGATCTCCCACAAATGCTGATTTCTGAGCAGACTCCCTTTGACAGCTCTGACTGGTGCCCTTCAAGCAGTGTGGGAAGCAGCTAGCAGTGTGGAGGTCACTGGCACCAAGCTGTTCTGATGAGAGTGGAACAGGTGGGAAAATTTTCTTCTGTCCATTTCAGACTGGTGCTATTTTTCCATTGACAGAAGAAAAGTATGTAGAAAATACTTAAAACCTTCCCTACACTTAGTAGATATGATAGTAGACTCCTTTGAGCTCACTCCTTCTTGCTTCTCAGTAAGTGACAATGATTAAATATTCATTTTTCAGTGTCACTGTATAAAATTAATGACCAATTTGAATTTTCTCCAGATCAAAAGGATATATTAATACTTTGCTAAGTATGATGAAATCAGTCCTTACATGTGTGCTTTAGGAATATGTATGGTTTTTTAAAAAAAAGATAACAGAAAAATTCAGATATAAAAAGTACTATATAGAATTGCTTAACAAACCCCCAAGTGGTGTATCATTCAGTTTTAAGTTAGCTTATTAATTCATGTTTGCTCTATACCCTACTTTTGTCTCCTTAATATTTTGAAGTAAATCTTAGCCATATCTTATTATCTAAAGTTAATTTAAAATTATTGAAAGACTATTTTGAGTTGTATAAAGATATTGAGCAGATGACTGCTACAAAAAAGCAAAATTCTTTATTGAAGCTATAAAATAAGGAAAAGTGCATAAATTTATAGTTTAATAAATTGTAGAGATAATTATTGTAAAACATTTTATTCCACTAAAAAAAAATTACTCATGATTTTCCTCTCCAAAGATAAACACTATTACCATCTTGATTTATAGTCCTCTAGACTTTTCTAAGCACAGATGTATGCACAGATCTAAAGACTGCATATAAACATGTGCATGCATAGCACCGCCACTCAAGTCAAGATATGACTTTCTTTACTAATTGCAGCCCCCCACCTCGGTCTGTTATTCTGACTTGCATGGTTTGAAGTAATCCTTTTTAAACTGTTTTTCATAGTAAAATAGGTCAGCCTTAAACCTTTGGAAAATATGACAGTTCTTTTTATGGAAAACTCTTGCATAATTAAACATGATTTTAATGGAGAATTTAACAATAAAGAAAAATGCTTATGATAAAATATAGAAGGAAACAGGTTATATAAATGTATAACGATATCTCAGCTATATAAAAATTTAATATAACAATAATAAAATAAAAATCATCATTGTGAAAATTTATCTCACTCTCCTGTTAGATCAAGCTGGTATTTGGTTAAATATTAATAAAATAACATGAATGAAATTTATTAGTAAGAAGCAACTAGAATGATAGGAGGTGGGAAAGGCTAATTAGTTTTGCAAAATAGAGTAGCTATATGTAGGGATTAAAGTGCTGTAAGAAAGCTGATGTTCTTAGGTTCAGACTGAAAAGATAAAGTTAGGTAAAATAGGTGGGAAAGCTTGCAATTTGCATAATAAATATTATACATGACTTTCTACTTAGGCTAATATAAAATCATTTTTAGTATTATGTTCTTGGTGATATTTTAGTCTCATTAACTCTAATTGAAATGATAGTGCAGCTTTGTTAGTTTTCCTTACCGTAATTGTGATGTGTTGAGTAATGTTTGTTTCCTAATAGATAAGGCCTTTCATGAAAGCTCACCTAAATCGAGATAAAGACAAAGAACTTTTAAAATTAACTCAGTACCTCAAGGAGATAGCAAAATTAGATGACTTTTTGGATCTAAATCACAAATATTGGGAAAGGTAAGTGTTAATTGCTTATTTATTTTCTCTTTACATCAGTGATGAAAAAATTATCATTTTTCATCAGTGAACCCAGTATATGTATATATATATATACATATATATATTTTTAATTTTTATTTAAAATAGATGACTTCTAAAAACATTTTCTCATTCAGCGATCTACCCCTTGAAAGTATTTTCCCCTTTCATCTTAACCTCTAACTTGTTCATAAACACATCTCTTGTAAGCTCTTTAATACTTGTAGAAGAGAGAACTTGAGAGACTAGCATATGTTTGGGATGCTGCCTGTAAATTATTTTGTGACGTTAGGTAGGCTACTCCTTTATGAACCACATGGGAATGTAATCCTTCCTCTCATACTTAATGTAATGTCAGGATAAAATAAAACACATGTAAAAATTTACAAATAGTGTTAAAAATTACAAGTAACTTGGGTGTAGCAAAAAAATTAGAAAACCTTATCCCACTGAAAAAAACAATTACTCATAATTTTCCTTTTTAAAGACAACCACTGTTACCATCTTGGTATATTAGTCTTTCAGTCATTTTTTTTTTTTTTTTTTTTTTGAGACGGAGTTTCACTCTTGTTACCCAGGCTGGAGTGCAATGGCGCGATCTTGGCTCACCGCAACCTCCGCCTCCTGGGTTCAGGCAATTCTCCTGCCTCAGCCTCCTGAGTAGCTGGGATTACAGGCACACGCCACCATGCCCAGCTAATTTTTTGTATTTTTAGTAGAGACGGGGTTTCACAATGTTGACCAAGATGGTCTCGATCTCTTGACCTCGTGATCCACCCGCCTCGGCCTCCCAAAGTGCTGGGATTACAGGCGTGAGCCACCGCTCCCGGCCATCTTTCAGTCTTTTTTCTAAGCTCAAACATATCCACAAATCTATATAGACATTGCATATAAACATCAAGGTTTTGAGACAGGGAAAAGCCCCTGGAGAAGTGGAAGATATTACTATGTATTACAAGCATTTTGGGGGGAATTAGGTCTTTAAGGACCTGGTTCCAGTAATACATCATCAAAAGAGACTGTGTAGTTGGGGAGGGATAACATGGGGAGAAAGGCCAGATATAGGTGATGGGGAGGAAGGCAGCAAACCACACTGCCATGTGTGTACCTATGCAACAATCTTACGTGTTCTTCACATGTACCCCCAAACCTAAAATGCAATAAAAAAATAAAAAATAAATAAAAAAACGAAGTATATTTTATATGTGTGTATGTGTATGAGTGTATATATATATATATGTATATATATATATATATATATATATATATATATATATATATAAAAGAAACTGTAATAATAACACTTTGGCTTTTCGGATTCCACTTTTGACTTTTCAGACCACTTTGACACAAGTCTTCTAAGAGTCTATAATCCTAATAGGAAGATAAAGCAGACATTTTTATCCCCATCTTTAAATTGCAGATGATGTAACTGAGTCATGGAGATAGCAAATGCTTAGTGCAGTGTCATGAAGTAAGCAAATTGTACCATCAAAACATGTCCACGTTTGCCAGTTTTAAGAACTCTGTCCCCAACCCCACACCACCAATTTTAGTACTTTGTAAATGTGAGAAATTGAGATTGCTTTTAATTTAGTGGTAGATGTCTACTAATATGAAAAATATTTGTTTGCTTAGTAAATTAATGTCTTATATCCTTTACACACTTGATCAAAGACCTTTAGCATCTTTTGCCCACTATCTTGATGTAAGAAAAAGAAGATCTTTATGGAGTTTCAGCTATATTTGGAAGCTAGGATACTAGTTAATACAGTTACTTTCACATTGGAAGTAAGGCAGTATGGAATGATAGCTAATGAGTACAACCTCTGGAGCCTTGTTTTGAATCTAGGCTCTTCCATTTTCTAGCTGTGTGAATTTGGGCAAATTGCTTAACCTCTTTGTGCCTGTAAAATAGGAATAATACTAATGGAAACTCCTCAGAGCTCTTGTGAGGACTAAATGAATTAATACATGTACTTAGAACTGTGTATGCACATAATCAGTAGATGTAAGTGATTATTAACAGTACTTATCTTGAAATGTTTTGTCATTAGAATAATCTCCTTTGGGAGGGAAGTTAGGTTAACTTCATGAATTTATCATGATACAGCTTTGACATCTTTATTTTATTTCTTGCAGATATCTCTCAAAGAAGCAAGGACAGTAGTTTTAAGTTATACTGGCAATTATTGAAGATACTTAAGATCCAGGAACTTCTTGCTTTTATGCTAGAAATCATTATGAAAGTGCTGGACACTGAAGCAAATACCATATTGCATATACTTGGTCTTCCAGTTTTTTGTAAATTTAATTTTATATTTTTTTGAGATTATAGCAATATGCTAAAAAAAAAATGCTTTTGTTCCCTATATGAATATTCTGTTACTCTTGAAAAATATTTTCTCCAGGGTTGGTTACTGATTCCTTCCTTGTCCCCTCAACACACACACAAAGTGGAGAAAATGTATACTCAACAATGTCATTTTGTGACTTTGGAAACAAGTTATGTTTTGTATTTTTGTCTCATTATGTTACTGTCTGACTAAAATCAAAGACCAAACCCATGTTGAAACTAGTGCTTTTCCCTTTAAAACCAAAAAGAAAAAAAAAGTTTTTAAATAAAGAACCTAGTTTGTTATGCTTAAAATTACCAAGAATTTTTTATTCCTTTGTCATAGACACAATTGCTCTTCTGTATGCCACTAGTTAAATTTCTAAATTCTGAATGGTCTCAGTTAGGCCTGTATGTGTATACATGTTCAAGTAAAGCTGGAAAGTATCAATCTCTGATACTGCTGTGTCCTAGTATGAGAAACCGAAGACTGAAGAATAAAAACTAAGGAACAAGAATGAATCGAATCTCTTTTCAGTGGCTAAGTAGAATCTGCCTAAAACCATTGTCGTAATAGCAGTTAAAGGCAATAAATTTTTAAAAGGGACATATCACTGATTGATCCCTAAAAAGCATGAACAAAAAGTTTTTGTTCTGTTCCAGCTATATCTTGTCTAAGTGCTAACACAGTTTCAGTAAAAATACCTAGCCATAAGATTAAAAAAATATATTATTTGCAATGCTTAAGCCTGCAGATAACGTAATGTGACCACTGTTTTGTGTTGACAATATTGCTTTATACAGTTCTTGTATTTGAAAGGAATTGATCCTTTTAAAGAAACATGGTGTGTATTGTTCTTACAGGACTAATTTCAGTGGTGTAAATAATAAATATCTTTTCTTAAAACATTGGTTATCTGTTCTATATTACTGCAGATATTACTCTTTGTTGAAAAGACGAATGAACATTGTGTTCAGGCAAGGACCTCTTGCAAAAACTTAAATGTGTATGGTGATGTTAAAGGTGTGTATATCACTATTTGTACATTCAGGAGTAGTAGCAGCTAATCAGATACGTTAAATTACTTAATCCTAATAAGTACCATTTTTTTTTTCAGAAATATATACTATTTGTGACAGGTTATTATAAGGATATACAGTGCAGAAGAGTTTGAGGACTGTAAGTAAAGTGATTGAATTAAAATGTATTAATTTTGAAATTTTAAATATGGATAGAAAAGAAATTTTAGAATATTCATTTTATTGGTACGTTTTCCCACTGTAAAAGACAACTTATTATTCCAAAGTAGGCATGGAAAGGGCCTAATTTTCTCAATAAAACAGAACACTTAAACTATTAACATAGGTCAAGAAAGAGCAGACATTTTCTCAATCAGCATAAACTAAAATATAAAAGCAAGTCACAGGAAGCAAGGTAGAATTTTACAAAAACATTTTCTGCCATTAGGTGGTGCCCAAACCAAAGCTTAGCGGCTGTGCTTAATTAAGCCACTCTGGAGAACATTGTCATTGAGCTTATGGAGATAGCATGTGCTGTATGTGATTAAAACCTTCAGCTGGGTGCGGTGGCGCACGCCTGTAATCCTAGCACTTTGGGAGGCTGAGGCAGGTGAATCACGAGGTCAAGAGATCGAGACCATCCTGGTCAACATGGTGAAACCCCTGTCTCTACTAAAAATACAAAAAAAATTAGCTGGGCATGGTGGCGCATGCCTGTAATCCCAGCTACTCAGGAGGCTGAGGCAGGAGAATTGCCTGAACCCAGGAGGTGGAGGTTGCGGTGAGCCGAGATCACACCATTGCACTCTAGCCTGGGTAACAAGAGCGAAACTCCGTCTCAAAAAAAAAAAAAAAAACCTTCACAGAATGTGCAAGTTTTCATTTGTCTTCTGCATCTCATGGCTTATTGAACAGCTCCATCTCTTTGTATCTAGTTGTGTGGCACACACAACTGAGCCAATTGGCCACTTAATTCAGATGTATATTTTGGTGATAACTGCAAGTTATTTTTATTAGATATGTGTTAAACTTTTAAACAGTATTATATGAAGTACATCTAGCCTAAAAACTACAAAAAATAAATCTTCGATTCAGAGGGAAGTTTATAGTTTCCCTTCAGGCCTTTGTTATGGAAATCAGTTACTGGACCAATAATACCTGTAGCAGCTCTTCAGTTTAAAAGGTTAGGAATGGAAAAACATGTTGTTAACAGTTGTAAGCAACTGAAACTTATTCTTTATTCATAGAAAGTAAAATAGGTGCTTGAGGAGAGGAAGAGGAACTGTACAGGGATAGGGACTGGGAAAAAAGGATATGCAACAAAAAAATGCAGATTAGTTGCATTTTAGGTTATTGCTTGGTTTGTAAGTATTATTAATAACAGTTGGGTGCTCAAAATAGTAATAAAATGTGAGTAATAAACTTGAGTTTTCTTATCCCAAGTAATGAACAGAGCTCTCTCAAGGGATGAATTTTATGGTCTCCAATGAAGTATTTTACATCAAAATTCAATCTAATGAACTGGGATAGCCCAAGAAATTTCTGTAAAGATAAAATGCATAGATGTTTATGTAAAGATTTAGTTTTGCTATGTGAGTCTTGGTGAGACATCTGAGTATTTAAAATTTTTAATTGACATTTGTTTATGGGGTACAATATGGTGTTTTGATACATATATGCATTGTGGGATGATTAAATCAAGCTAATTAGCATATTCATCACCTCAAATGTCATTTGGCAGTGAAAACATTTAAAATTTTCTTTTTTAGCTGTTTTGAAGTATGCGTTATTATTAACTGTAGTCACTATGCTGGGCAGTAGATCATCAGAATGTATTCCTCTAATTTAACTTTGTATTCTTTGACCAACATCTCCTCTTTCCCCAGCCACCACCACCGCCCTCCCCAGCCTCTGGTAACCACTTTTACTCTCTTACTCTATGCTTCTGTGAGTTTGACTTTTTAAAATTCTACATATAAGTGAGATCATATTGTGTCTCTCTCTACATGGTTTATTTCATTTAGCATAATGTCCTTTAGCTTCATCCATGTCACAAAGGACAGAATTTCCTGTTTTTTTTTTTTTTTTTTTTTAAGGCTGAATGGTATCTATATATATATACCATATTTTAAAAATCCATTCATTCATTGATGAGTACTTTGGTTTTTTCTATATCTTGGCTATTGCAAATAATGCTATAGTGAACATGGGATTGCAGACATCTCTTCAGAGTGCTTGCTGTTTAACTCTTAAGGGAATCTTTTGTAATTAGTTTCATACACTTAGCAAAGACTTCTGAGAAATTAGTGCATTATAAGAACTGAAATCAATATCAGGCATCCTGTAGGGCTAACAATGGTGTTATCTATCTAGTAATGTCAGTGAGCTTCCATGTAAAGTATAAAATCTTACATGCCATGCCTCCCACATTAATAATTTTGTAAAAACACTTTGGAAATAAGCAAGCACTTAAATACTTCCTGATATGAACTGTTATTTACTAAAATGCTGGTTTCCTTCTGAAAAGTTTTAAAAGCTGAACTTACAGCTTTTAAAATCATTTGTAAATGGTAGAAACAAAACTTTTAAAATATCAAAAACAAAGATTGCTAAGCTTTAATGATGTTTCCATAAACCAATATGGCTACACTGCATTAAGTAGTGTATGTGTACAATTTGTTATACTAAAGGACAGACTGATGACTTTTCAGGAATAAATACATTATTAAAATGAGGCAAATCAATTATTTAGTTGAATACAAATCCTTCCTACTTTTATTCCTAGTTCTTAATTCTCTGGAACACTGATTGCTATCACTTCTTGTTGCATAATCTGTGAGGAGAACTGCTGTGGCTTCCTAAATAAGGCTTTTGAAAGAGCCAGTGGTTGGTCAGAAAAACATGTGACTAGAATCCCTCTTTATTGGCAGCAGGACCTTAGGCAAGTCATTTCAACTCTTTGAACTTTTGCTTCCTCCTCCTTAAAAATGTTCTACACCTGTTTGCCTTTCCCATAGGCTGTGGCAAATTCAAATGAGAGTTCCTGTGGAAGTACTTGGAAGCAGCAAAGGCATATGTGAATGTCAGATGTTAAAAGTAGTTCAGAGCATATGGCTATCATCGAGCTCTATCACTCCTGAAATTTTACTTACCAGAAGTGAAGTACTAGAAGGAAGACTTCAAATATTATCTTGGTTTTCCTAAGAGTTCTAAATAATCAAGGAAAGGAGAATGAGGAAACCTCTTATGACCTAGATTTTTTGTAAGTATCCAACTGCTTTTAAGTCTGCAAATGACATTTTGGACTGGATGCCCAGAAGTCCCTCTCCTTCCACCCCCACCCTTAAAGTGACCATGACTAAACCTTAACAGCATTATAATACATCTTGTATAGTGGAATATTTACATGATTTTAATCTTCTAACTTTGGAAATCAGTTGTTCCCAGATAGAAGCTTGCTAATTTTTCCTTGCCATGTAAAAATGAAAAATCATTCAAAAGCAATGAGTTTTAAAACTTTCTTTCTTGTGAAGATATGCTAAGGTGTAAACATTTTGTGTTTTTGTTTGTTTGTTTTTGTTTTTGTTTTTTTCTCACAAGTTTGGCAGAACAAACCATGCGGGAACCAGGCAGTCAACATTTAATGTATATTTATTAATACCTACTATGTCTGAGGCACTGTTCTTCAAGGGTTAAACACAAGATTTTCTACCCTCACAGAGCTTATATTTGAGTGAGGGAAACAATAAAGAAACAAGATGATTTCAAGTAGAAGTGCTATAAAAATATGAGAGAAAATGATTGTGACAGTGATTCACAATTACATGACCTAATGTGGGAAGATGGAATTTGAGCTGAGATCTGAATGAGAGCCACCATTTGGAATGTACAGAGAGAGGATGTGGAAATCTTAAGGGGGCAAAGAAAAAAAGTTAAAAAAAAAGTATGGAGAAGAATATTATTGTGGACAGATAAGGCAAGCTCAACCTAGGCAGATTCAGGGAAGAGTTGGAGGTAAGATGTAGCCTGGTGCGAGGTGAGGTTGGAGAGGTAGGCAGATCCTATGGAAAAGGTAAGATGTTGTACATCACAATAAGTGTAGTGAATTCTACGTGAAATGGCAGGAACCAGTGAAGGATGTTAAGCATGGAATAACAGTCTAATTTTTTTAACAGCCTTATCAAGATAGAATTTATATACCACAAAATTTACCCTTTTGAAGTATGCAGTTCAATGGTTTTTAGTATATTTAGAGAGTTGTACAACCATCACTGTAAGCTAATTTTAGAACTTGATTTGTTTTTAAACAAATCATTCTGGTTCTTGAGTGAGAATGGACTATCAAAGGCCAAAAGAAAGGACGTGACCTATTAGGAGATGAGAGATTTTCAAAGTGACTGGGAGAAAATATGCATTTCTTCACTCCCTTGTAGCATCATCTTCCAGCTACCTATTGAGCCCCTGTGCTGTACCAGGCCACGTATGAGGTGCCACATCTTCCACGGCAAATAAGACAGAAATGACCCTGCCCTATAGGAGCATGCAGCTGCAGGACTGTGTGCACCACAAACTTAGCCCTTCCAGCTTTACCACTGGGTAAGTAATGCAATTTGAAGAATAGAGAATTCAATGTATCAAAATCAACATATATGAAAAATCTTTCTTACCCATTTATTCCCACAATGAAAAAAGCCTTCTGTAATTCCACCCAACCGTCTTGCCCAGAGGCCAGACCCAGGATTAAGTGTCCAGCTTGGACACGCATGACCTGTGCCAGCATGGGACACAGCAGAGGTCTGCACACTTAAGAAGATAGATCAAAGGCCCCCTTTCCATTTCTCTCTTCAGAGTATTGCAGCAAGAACATCCCCTTCTAGCTATTTCACACATGGACAGCCGAGAATGAGACGGTCATTGACAGAGCATTTTGCATTTGTGCACTTTCTCTCGTTATACTGCCATTTATTCCCCAGTATCTAATGGGGGCTGCAGCATGTACTCTGTGGTTAAATTCTGCTGCCAGAAGTTTCCTCCAGCTCCTGATGCCCCAAACCCCTCCCTCCAGCATTCCCCTGGCTCATCTTGCAAACAAATTCAAAGGTGCTGTGTTACACTCTGATCTTTCATGACACACTGCTATAAAGATTTTGAAATTTGAGTCAAAGCAAAAACAAAACAAAAAAGTAAGCTTAAACATCCCCTGAGGGGAAAATAATGAAGGAGCTCTTAAGCACTATTGCAAATAATACTTAATTTTAAGAAGACAATTTTTTTTTTAAAGAATGTGGACTAAATATTCTTTATTTTCCCTTAGTTCGTTCTTTGCTCAAAGAAAAATTTGCATCATTGTTTTAGTGGATTTGGTGGACCTGTTTAATTAATGTTAGCCCTAATGGTTTAAAAGATCTTGGAGTAAAAAGGTGTAATACCTCTTCCTCACTCATTTTGAGTTCCATAGCCAACACCTCTATAGGGAACACAGGTTAGCAAGAGGAAAGCATAACAAACTCAACAAAGTTTCCTGTGACACGAGAGCCTTCAGAAATGAATGCCCAAAGACTCAGGGAAAATTATATTTTTATGTTAGGTTCAATGAAGAATGGACAGCCATGTAGAAATGTGATTGGATGAAAAGGGTATGCTCTAATGGTAATAAACAGGGGACCCTAGCAAGGCCTGTTTGGGTTCTTCTTGGCCTCTTTGTACAGGACTTTTTCCCCACTGGATATGGGGCAAGGCCCTTCTGGAATGAGGTTTATGGCCAGCTTTCAGAGGAGGTAGGTCAGAGAATGACCTCTTTAGGTTTTATGGCTTGCTTTGGGAGAGAGGAGTTCTAGTTTCTATAACCTGCTTTGGGGAAGAGGAATTCTCATACCCATGACATGCTTGGGAGAAAAAAGGGAGGAGAAAGGAGTGTGGAGAAGGTCAGAGGGAACATCTTGCTTCTCAGGTCCTTCCAATCTTTTTCGGTTCAAAGTACTCAGCATGCCAAAGTGCCATACTTTGGAGTATAGTATTCTGAGCCCTAACAATCTTTAATAGCTATACATGATTATTTTTATTTTTAATGGTAATTTCTATTTGTTTAAGAAATGTAATTTAAAAAAAAATTACATGTAGTCTCACCACCCAGAGGTAACAATGGTTTACGTTTTTTTTTTTTATACCTATGTGTACTGATAAAATATATGTGAAAGAACGGATAGGTATGTCTCAGTGGCTCTCTGGGATTGAATTAGTGCAAATGGTTATTGTTAGATGCATATAGTTGAAAGCCTCAGGAAGCAGAGACTATGTGTTTATTTATTTATTTTTTTTTTTGGTATTCCCCAGGTACATAGTAAGTCTTTGAATTTGATAGATATATATGATCAATGTAAGTTGAATTAACAAATGAATGTGTAAACAGACAAGCCATAAAATAGGTACTTATGTAATGTCATTATTTTAATAACATTTGCTTCTTAAATGCTTTCCTCTATGATGAGAATAATGACAAAAATATAACACATATTTATTTCCCTTTTCTTTTTGCATCCCGGCTTATTGATTTTTCAGTCCACCATTTAGGAGGATATATTACAATAAGGAAAACATTTTATGACAGCTTATTACAAGAAGAAATTTTAAAGTTCTGGTTACTGTTGTAATGTTGGATGGGTGAACTACTATAGTTTTATGTCTCCATAATGTATGAGAAGTATTTTCATTCATCTCTTAAATGCATTCTGCCTTTAGTGTAATAGTCAATTGATTCATGTAGTTTACAAATGCTTTCACAAGAGAATAGTAGAAGTGCATAGCACCATATCTAAATGCCATAATTATTTATCATAAATTGTTATTCTTGGGGAATTCTGGGAGCTTAAAATGAGACGATCATCTATCCTGGCTAGTAGCACACTGATAGGTGTTATGCTGGTGCCATCGAGCAGTAAATCATTTAAATCCAAGTGCTACAATTTTCTGGCTGCCATCTAGTTCACTGAGAAAGCAGCCATACATCCAACCCATGCAACCCCGCAGTAGGGTGCTGTGAACATGTGTGGAAGGCTCATATCTTCAAGGAGGTCCTACCAGGGCCACAGGTCACTAAATTTTCTCCAATAGTGCCCAAGGTGAACCTGTGTTATTGTTCCTCTATCAGCCAGCCCAACATATTTGAAAAGATAGTGAGATTTGTTAGGTGATACAGGTGAGGGAAGAACTTTGATTTGAGTTGATGGGGGGAATTCAGCTGAGTCATGTTTTAGGGTACAGACTCACCTAAAACAATCTTGAAAGTACCATCTGGGAGCAAGAGGGCAGGGCATGGATGTCCTGTTGAACATGGGCTTCGAGGTTAACAGACCTGGGATGGATATCTAGTCCTGTGGCTCCTGTGGGATCTAGGGCTAGAAACTTCACCTCTCTGTGTTAGTTTTCTATTGCTGCATAACCAGTTACCACACACCTGGTGGCTTAAATTATACACATTTATTATCTCACAGCTTCAACAGTCCCTCTGTGCTTAGCTGGATTCTCTGTTCAGGGTCTCACAAGCCTGCATTCAAGGTGTTGGCCAGGCTCGTGTCCATCTAAAAGCTTGACTGGGCAAGAATGAAAGTGACATCTCATCACATTTGCCATATTCTCTTAGAGTCAAGTGACAAGTCCCACCTACACTCAGGGGAGGGGATTACACAAATATGTGAACAGCAGAAGGTAGAAACATTGAGGGTTATGGTACAGTCTGTTTGCTACAATCCCTGAACCCATTCAGTAAAGTTGGTATAAAAAAACCTGCTTCAGAGGGTTATTATGTTAATTCAAAACAAGATAACATATATCAAGTGTTTGCATGGTACCTGGCACATAGTGAGCATTCAATAAATGTCACTGATGATGATGATAATCATTGGTGATAACCAATGGGTATCCTGATAAATGCCTATAATCTTCTTTTTTGTTGTTGTTGGTTCATGTCTTTTATTAACTCAGTTACTTGTCTTCTGGTTTGTTGAAGCAGTAAGTCAGACAACATTTGCCACAATAATGTCTGTCAAAGTGGCTTGCCATAAACACTCCAGCACCACATTCATCAGAAGGGCACTCTTGACGAAGGCAACTAATTTTGCCATTCTCATCCACCTTATAATATTTCAGAACAGCCAGCTTGACCTTCTTTCTCTTGTGCTTATTCTTCTTGGGAGTGGTGTAAGACTTCTTCTTCCTTTTCTTAGCACCACCATGAAGTCTCAACACAAGATGAAGAGTAGACTCCTTCTGAATATTGTAGTCAGACAAAGTGCGTCCATATTCCAGTTCCTTGCCAGCAAAGATCAGTCTTTGCTGATCAGGAGGAATTCCTTCCTTATCCTGGATCTTGACCTTTACATTTTCTATCGTATCCGAGGGTTCAACCTCGAGGGTGATGGTCTTCCCCGTAAGGGTTTTCACGAAAATCTGCATTTTGGTGGCGGCCCTACCTGATGCACAGATGGCGGATCGAAAAGTGCCTATAATCTTCTTAAATCATGAGTGTCCTTCTAAGCACTCACCACAATATGAGGAATTTCAAGTTTTGAACTTGACTCTCTCAAAGGATAATGGTCAACTCAGTTATCTATGGGACATGGAGAGGAGGGTGATGGAATTGATTATCTTAGGCAAGATATAATTCAGGAAAATATCTAACTTGACTTTGAAATAAATATTTTTTCTTTCCCTGATTGTTTTGTACAAGCATATTATTCCACATCACAGAGTTACTCTAATTATCCTAATTTACTTACTCTCTCCCCATTGATTTACTCTTAGTTTGAACCTAATTTTTACTATTGCCAACAATGCTGCAGTGGACATCCTTCTAGATATATTCTTGTGCCCTTTTGTGTTTTTGTAGGAAAAAGTTGTACAGCCATTTATTGACAGCTTATAACAAATCAGACATTGTGTTACGTGCCCGGTGAATAAAACATATATGGTTTCTTCCCTCATGGAGCTCACAGCAATTAAAATTACAAGTATTAAAAATACGAATTTTAAGTATGGGGTGTGTATTATAGGATGAATAACATACTAGGGAAGAGGGAGAGCTGAGGTCACACCAAGCAAGGATTTGGGGTCACATGAGAAGAGTTAGGCCGTCTCTAGAAAAGTAGTGAAATCTTAGGATCTGGAGAATCAGAACTTTGACAACAATGGATCCAAGTTCCTGGGATCTTGGAATTACTTTAAAAAAATTCACATGTACAAATCTCAGATTGTTAATTCAGAAATATGATTTTATTTTTCTATTAGAAAATTTAAGATTCCTTCTTCTGAGTAGCAGAAACTTAATCTTGGTCAACATGAGGTTTCCTGTCTTTTCCCCCATATTGGATCTAAGTACTGGGGTCTTACAATATGCCAAGACATTGAGGATGTGGGATTGAGATGAAGAGGTGCCTGGTCTTTAGTTGTCACCTAATATATTAGTTTGTTTTCATGCTGCTGGTAAAGACATAGCCCAGACTGGGCAATTTACAAAAGACAGATTATAGACTTACAGTTCCACATAGCTGAGGAGGTCTCACAATCAGGGTGGAAGGCAAGGAAGAGCAAGTCACATCTTA